CAAAAAAATGAAAAAATTACCATCAAATTGCAAGAAACATTGTTCACTTTGATCTGCTGCCGTCGCGCCACCAATATCGTTTAAACGGATGACATTTTCAACATCATCGTCAAAACCGCCTGCAAAAGAACTTCTTTACGCTACGACACTGAATAGTTTCCGCAAAAAAAAAAAAAAAATTATGTAACTGGGTTAAAATTAAAGCGGTGCAGTAGTAAAGAGTATTTGTGGACGACTATCAGTTAAATGCCGATTGAAATGAGGGTAAAAGTTGGAAGAATATTTAAGAAATGTGAAAAATTAACTAAATCTAAAGCGGAATAAATTTAACTAAAGCAGATTTCCTTCTCTTCATAATAGCAGTTGGTGCTTTTTTCGAAAGAAGGAACCACCACAACTCTGCCAACCAATGGATGATATCAGCAAAAGTGTCAAAAACTCCATTATTTCCGAATACTTCCATTCTCCAGCTAGGCATCGTGCTGTACTTCATCGTCTAGTTACTCACGCAGCGGAAAACCCACGAAAAGCCAGCCAGGACGAAGTCGCCATAAAAAAAATGGGCATACTACCAAGGGGAGACAACCAAGAAAGACGTATTTTGCATTGAAAGGCAGATACCCAGCAGATGTGCTGGCAAGTTGATTCTGCAGCACACGGGCCGATAGCCTAGTGGATAACACTCCGCATCCGGATGTGAAGAGGAGTGGTTCGATTCTCTCTCGTGGCGTCCACAAATTTTTTCAAAAAGGGGCTTCGTCCACAACACCCCTACTTCATCTTATACAGGTGACAATTGTTTCCCCCGGCTTCTTTGACTAATGCTGTACTGCTTTGCGGCTAAATATATTAGCAATTTTAACGCCGGCTTCGTCGCCTGAAAGGATTACCGGCAAGTTTTTAGCCATTTCAAGATGCCTTTAGTGTGTAATATTAAGCGCCAATACCTCGTCCTGAACGTTGTTGTTCCTAAACTCCGATCAGAAACATTATGAAGAAAAATTGTGGGATTTTGATTTTGGACTGGTTTCTTGTCTAAACGGGAAATGAAGTGCTTGATAAAGTCTGTGCACGGAATATAGTGAAATCTCATAAACGGACGTGTCGTTTGCTTTGCTCATAACCAATAAACGTTAAGTATATACGCGTTAGGAAGGAAACGATCACGCAGGCGACCAAAAACCAGATGGAACTCGCATGTGTGTCGTATGAAGATAGTGGGTGGGAAACCGCAAGCATACAGCTTTGATTAAAAAAGCCTGCAAAAATGCGCCGGTATGCAAAAACACCAGAAAGGGGAACGAGTTCAAAAAACAATTT